AAATTTTAGTTTTTTACTTAATTATTTTTCATTACGTGGGTTAATCTTCTTATTTGAAAGTTTTCAACTTGTTTACAAGATGATGTGAATGATCAGCTGACCAATCATTGTACTCTCAATTAGTTTGAGTTACATAAATCCAAAATAATTTCTCGAAAAAAAAAGACCAATTGCTAAAGAAATCATTTACTTATTTTTGTAAATAGGGGAAAAAAAAACTTTAACTATCACGATTTTGACCCATCACTATTTTAAACATTTTTTTTACAAATCACCATATCAATTATGTGGGTTTGTCATGTTGCCATCTAAAACCAGAATTAAAGTTGTTTTTGTCTAAAAACAGCTAGTTTCTAAAGATATTTTAGGACTTTATATATTTTTTAAATAAATAAAACAAAATGAAAAATGAATGAAAAAAATATGAAATATGAATGGTCAGCTATGAAGTCCACTGAAATCTTGGCCAACACCTTCACGCCGACCAATTCAGTGATCCATGTTCGAAGATCTGAAGAACGTACAACCACTGTCGACAAACCTGCAACCTTCTGTCTGTGTGTCCAAGCAGCCCGACAACCATCAAGCAAAAACTGGCCAGCATGTCGCCGTGGCATCCAACTGCTGCCTTCAGCCGAAAAAATGCTGGGAAATACAGTCGCGCAAGGGTTAGCCATGTGTTGCAAAGACACGCAACTTCTACATTTTTTTTTTTGTTTTTGAAAAATATATGAAATTACTGAAATGCTCTAAAATTCAGCATTTTTCAGTTAAAACCTCTGTTATATCTGGTTTGGGCGACAGTTTGACAAACCTGTATATTCAGGTGGTGGTTTGTAAAAAAAAAAAGTTTATATAGTGATGCGCGAAAATTGTTATTGTTCGGATGGCAAAAAGTTTTTTTTCCCTTTTAATAAAGACAAAGTATTAGCCTAATTTTCAAAACTGAATTACATGGTTATTTTACGTATTTCTTTAAACTATGATATCTAATACAAGATGCAGTTTGAATTAGTTAGCAAGACCACTAGACCAGAATGCATTTACGTGAAAAGTATTGAGCATTTGCATATTTCTAGAGTATGATAACAATGCTATACGTTTCTTTTGGCAAAATGTCATTATTGGCCTCAATTTTTTCTAAAGCCTGTTTGGAACTAATAAACTATAGTTTGACACTGTCCTTGCATTCTATAAATGATAATTTGATATGCTATTGCAAGGAAAAATAACTCAACTCGCTGTCCTTATATTTCCATTAATGGCAATTAATTAAAATGTAGAAAGGCAAAAAATCAAAATACCGCAACCTTGTCATTGTATTTTTAGTAGACGATTTTATAAATGCTGAATTTTACATTTTAAAGTAAAAGAATAACGTGACACTGTTATTACAGTTCTATAGGTATGTATGAGATAAAATAAGCTCTTTTGAAATAATTTAAGAAGAGTTATTTGTCTATTAAGCTAAAAAAAGATGTTTACCCTTATATATATTTTGCCACTTCTTAGGGGAATAGTTACGCTGACTAGCGCGTAGAATTTTGGCCTCTTTCTTGCACCGACTGTCTACCGACAGCTTAACAAATCAATGAATGTCCATTGCCTTACAATAATATGCCACCTTTTAAACACTTCTTTTCGCAAAAAATCAACAAACCGTAATTGTTTTTTTTGTTTCTTTTTTCTTTTCATTTACCTCTACTTTTCTATTGGTTATATTTTATTTTAAGAAAAATGCTACAAGTACATGATAAATGTACGTAAAATGTATATAATACTCACATGAAGTGGAGTTCACTTAATTTTTTATTTTAATAGGTCTCAATCAAATATGAGTGTTATGTACACCTTTATTTATAATATTATGTACCTATAACATTTATCCATCTCCTGAAAAATGATTAGATATGTATACTCTTTTCACAAATGTACACAATTTTATACTCAAATTTTATATCATATTATATTATATATACATTTTTTAAGAAAGATATAATTTGTCTAATAGTTACGAACCCTAACACCAACATTTGTGTAAAAAAGAAAATCAAACGCATGTGAGGGTTATATGACTAGACATAGGGATGTAAATGGGTCGGGTGAGGTACGGGTTTTGGTAAACTCGAACCCGACCCGCATGCAATTTACCCTACCCAAACCCGACCCGTTACCCAACTAGTAATCTTCGGGTTCGAGTTGGGTTTACCTGACGGGTTAGTGGGTTTTCGTCGGGTAAACGGGTAACTCAAGTCTTAAATTTGTGCTTTACCCAGCCCCATCTTGTTTCATATAAAAAATAAAATAAAATAATTTCACAATTAATTATAATGTAACAAATAATTTATTAACTATGTTTGACCATAAAAAACAATAAAAAGATTATATTATTTTTGGAATAAATAACGAGATATAATTATGTATCTTTTATAGTCTATTAATATTATAACATTTAAAAATTAAGTATTTATTTTTTTATTGTACAATTAACAAAAAATGATAATAAAATCATAAAAAATAAAATAAATTCTAACCATTAATCAAAATTACAATATATAATCTAATTTTTAAAAATAACACATAACTACTTTTATATTTATAATAAGTTATAAATGTATATATATATATATATATGTATGTATATATATAAGATTCAATGGTTGCGGGTAATCGAATCGAGTAATGGATTTGCCTACTATACCCGCACCCGAACCGACCCGGGGTTCGGGTAACATAATTCTACCCGACCTCGACCCGAAACTCAATCATCTCGGGTTTACCCGACCGAAAATGCGGACTTACTTTGTTGGATATAACCAGGCGCAAAATGCAGTTGGGGTTGGATATATGATTCTTAAATGGTCATACTTTGTTGCGTTTTCTCGCAAGTGATAAACGAATATTCAATTAAGACGAATAAGTATCAACAATCCAAGTCAGCACCAAAAAGCATGGTGCAAGCTTATCATGTAAGAGATTGAATGTAAGTTTATTCAGTACCAAGCTTTTGCATTTTNCAAACATATGACAAGTAATTCTTCATTTCTTTGCATAGTTGATCAGTAGGTATTATATTATTACCTAAGCCAGCCCTGCATTGGGTCATAATCATTATCACTATTTTTTTTTCCTTTCTTTCCAATCCCAGTGCTGAGAGTTAAGAACAACCTTGCATTAAGCACTAGATAAATTCTTATTAGACCTATTGTACTTCATATGGCTCCGAACAAGCTGCCCTGCAGCAAGAGCCGACATAAGAGAAAGCTCACCAGCAAGAACCGAACCAGCAACAATGGTGGCCAGCCGCCTAGCATTCGACCCCGGAACCTCCTTGCTGGCCCCCTTCACTCCGAGCAGATTCAAACATGCCGACTGTGAAGACAGCTGGGTCCCACCGCCAACTGTACCAACCTGAACAAGAATTTCCAAATTCATTACCCAAAACCAACAGTTAAACAAGAAGAAGAATTAACATGTAAAAAATACAAAAACCGAGTAATATTTATACTTCGATAGAAGGCATGGTGACGGATATATGAAGATCCTTGCCGCCATTAACAGCTTCAATCATGGTAATACAGTGTGAGCTCTCGACATTCTGGGCCGGGTCTTGACCGGTGGCTATGTAAACTGCTGACACAATGTTGCTTGCATGGGCATTGAAGCCGCCCAGAGCTCCGGCCATGGCAGAGCCCGTTAGATTCTTGAGCATGTTGAGCTCCACCAAGGAAGCTACATCTGTTTTGAGCACCTTCTTCACAACCTCTTCTTTTATAATTGCTTCACAGACAACAGACTTTCCCCGACCTTCGATCCAGTTAACGGCCGCCGGTTTTTTGTCCGAACAGTAGTTCCCTGCTCAGTCAACCAACCAACCACAAATATGCAGCACAGATTAGCTAGCGAGCATACACAACACTATCGGCTAATTCATCACTCAATCTGAAGATAAATTCGAATCGAATTTTTAGTTTACCAGAGATGCTGATAACAAACCACAAATATGCAGCACAGATTAGCTAGCGGGCATACACAATACTATCGGTTAATTAATCACTCAGATGCAGATAACAAACCACAAATATGCAGCACAGATTAGCTAGCGGGTGATGGCAACGAGATCGCCCTCGCTTATTTGGCGAAATACGATTCCCTCCGGCTTTAGAATGCATGAATAATTATTGTTTTATCTTATTCTTTTATTTCCTTGTTTTTATTTATCTAAATTAGGAATAAATTGTGTGACTTAAGAAGGTTAGGTTTTGAGGACACTGTGTATATATTTGTGGTCTTTTGGGATTTGAAGGGGACATCGAATAAACATTTCATCAGATTGAGATTGAGAGTTCTTCTCTTTTCCTGTTCGTTTTATTGCTTCCGCCTACATCAGTGCATACACAATACTATCGGTTAATTAATCACTCAATCTGCAGATAAATTCGAATCGAACTTTTAGTTTACCAGAGATGCCGATAACATCCATGTCGGGGAATTCGTTGTTGAGGAAATCGATCACGTTCTGAACCCCCTTCGAGACCATGTTCATCCCCATGGCATCTCCAGTGCTGCACGAGAATCTGATATAGAGATTCTTGCCGGCCACAGCACACTTAATGCTCTGGAGCCTCCCAAAACGGCTGGAGCTGTTGAACACGAGGGATAGGGTTTCAAAGTTGAGAGGATCCTCGAGAAAGAACTTGAGTTCGGCAGCTCTTTTGGCCGAGCCAAACCGGACCACTGGA